CCGCTCAAACAATTGGTGTTTTGTCCAACTTCAGGTGAAAACCAAGCCAGCTTTGCTCATTACCCCGAGCGATTTTTACTCGCTACCCCGAGCGATTTTTACTCGCTGAGGAGAAAGTTGTTGTTATGATTGACTTTTGATATAATACCAAGCCAAGTTCGCTCGTTACTCCAAGCTAGTTTTGCTCGCCTGCAAATGAGTTTGCGCTTTGTCCAGTCATGGATTGATTTTACCCTTATATCGAGTTGAATTTTTGCTCAGGGGAAGTTATGCTTCCCCAATTTTGAAAAGAAATCTTACATTTCTAAAATTACGGAACAAATCGAGCAAAAATCAACTCAGCGTAGCAAATTTTCAAATATAACTTGACATAGCTAAATCGAGCAGCCATATCTTAGCCATTATATAAGATCGCATCACATTCATTCAAACCAAGAACTGAAGAAAACAAAAAGGCAAATGCATGGTGAGCAAAAAGTTCATTTGTTTCATTAAAGCTGAAATTGGGCTACAAAAGGTAGGGCCACTAGCCCGGTTACACACAAAAAAAAAAAAAAACAAAACAAAACAATAAAAAGTGGGATTTACTCCAAATTCACAGTGCCAGCTTGGTCAGTCACTTCTACCTTGGGCTTCTCCACCTCGGCCTCTTCTTTCTCGCTGAGCACCGGATTGACATCTAGCTCGGAATCCCCCTCGATTGGGTTGGCCCTTTCCGCGGATGTCCCGATGACTGATTTTGGTCGGCTGGTTGGGGGGCAGACACATTGGCCGCAGCTACAAGCTTCACCGCTTCTATGGGCTTTTCTTGTACGGCATAGGCATAAGCCTGCATGTGGGCCAGGATGAAAATGGCTGGAGGATTTTTGAACACATCGGAGTCATGCCCAAGGCCAAGTTGTTCAACAACAGCTTTCCAGCTGCACTGGAAAAAGATGTCCTTTGTTTCTTCAATTTGCCGTTTATATGTTTTTTTGCCCTCCGTGTAACCACAATCTTCAGCGTCGTCAACTTGTTTCTCCAGCTTGGCCTTGTGTGCTTCACACAGCTTGCATAGCTCGGCCATGTATCTGGCCTTGGTTGCCTGCAGAGCCTTTTGTTTGTCCTCATTCGTCCTTGCTAACCGCGCTGCAAGTTGGTCACGCTCGATCACTGCTACCTTCTGCGCAACCTTTAACTTCTCCAGCTCGACCGTTTTCACTTTATTATCTGAGATGGCCTCCCACAGACTCTGCCAGACAGAGATCATGCATTCATGAGCAAGGTAATTTTTTTGCGCAGCCTGCAGTATGGCAAAAGTTAGTAGTGGAGGCCGAGCAATAACTTCAAATAAAGCAACTTGATTGCTTACCAAAATGATTGACTTTGCTGCCGACCAAAGGACTTTCAGGTCGAACAGTTCCTCATGTTTCTTTATGTTCGCGGGAAAAAGTAAACCCTTGGTCATGTTGAAGCCAAACAAATGGTCCTTATCCGTATATACTGAATCTGCCACCGTCATTGCTCGGCCCTTATACTTCAACTCAGGTGACCAAACTGGAGGGGCAATGGAGCGGGTGGATTGCTCAGCAAGTGATTGATCAGTTTCCTCTCCCTGATTGGCCGACGATAACTAGGCTGAATCTTCGTCGACCAAGCGCTGCTCGATTTGTGCCTGCCTTGGCCTCTTTTTCGATCGGCCAGCACCTTGCTCGCTGGCTAAAGCTAGAACTGGGCCAAATTCCTGCACAGTTGGCCGCGATGTTTGGCCTGCAACTGTTTCGGTCTGTTGGGAATCGCTCGGCTCTCCTTTGATTGGCCATTTTTTAATTGGCTATTAGAGGCACAAGTCTAATCGGCGGGAGGTTTGGATCCGGTTCTGGAAAGGGGGCACAAAGAAAATTGGTGACCCTGCTCTTGCATGGTGTTGTATGCCGGTAACTCAGTTCGAAGTTGAGCAGTTTTTGCGCCTCTCGTTCCTCGTTCCTCGGCCGGATAACGCAAAACAACCCTTATGGCCTCTTGATTGGCGTGGGAATAATCATTTGCCAAGAGTTTGTAATCTACAAAAACAAAGCAAAGGTTAGATTGACAAAGACAAATCAAATGCGAAAAATTGAACAGCGCTATGTTGTTCACCAACCTTCCCAAAATTTTTGCGTATGTACCAGCCTGGTATGGGCGCCTCGGTATCTTCGTAATTGCCAGACACCCATAGGAAATCGTCATCGTTTAGTTCTTTGTCTAGGTTACCTTCTATGAGCTTTGCTCGGCTTTTCCTAACTTTGAGGTACCAGCAGAAGCCTCATTTATTTTTACTAAGTGTGTATTAGTGGAATATCTCGGCGAGGCCGAGGTTTAAACCGAGGATCCAGTTCAGCGCGGCCACACCGTTTATTATCTTGTAAGTTTTATTGGACACTTGGGTTGGACACAGCCTAGTCTGCCTAAAAAATTCACAGACTAAGGGTTGGACCAAAAAGCGTAAGCCGCCTTCCACAATAGATACGACCGTGAGGGGGCATAAGTCCAATTTGCCCCATGGAGTGTCTCCTTTCTTGGCCAGCTCAATGTGGACATCGTCTGGAATATTGAATTCCTTTCGGAACTTAGCCATGGTACCTGGAGAACTAACCATAAATCGGTATTTTCCCATTTGTTCTGGTTTTATTTTGTAAGATGAACAGCTCGGTCAAAATTGGATGGCTCCGATGATTGTTTGCTCGGTCTTTGAGCCTCACCAACAGTAATGCTAAATAAGCCTGGTCGATCCTAGTTTGTTTTGCATTATTAAAAAATAAGTCCAACCATTAGCGCGGTATACTTTGCATGGCTTTTAGGTTGAAGAGTGTTTTAGCTTGGTTTGAAATCCTGGGGTGTTTAACCAATTTTGGGCCTCATTCTTTAGTATTTCGGTTCCCATCTCAGTTCAATGTTCCTACAAACTTACAGTGCGGTCTCAACCACAAGGGAGGACCACAGACTAGTTTTGGCTTGGCTCAATCCTATATTTAGATCTTAAAGTGGGTTTTTGATCGATTTTACCCAGAATTTTCAGTGTTCATTCTAAATTCAGAATCACCTACAATAATCAAGGGAAATGAGGGGCAAGGAAGCCCCGTTCATACTTAGGGTTTCGATTTAGCCTAATCTCCACAGATGTTAATCAATTTTATCCCACAAGAGGGGCATCGACAATATTTCAACCGTTCTAAAACAAAAAGAAATGAAGAACACGAAGAGCATCAATGGAGAATAGAGAGGAACGAGATAAACTCACCGATTCGGAAGACAAATCTAGGTTCAATCGACTTGAGCCTTTGTTGCAATGCCCTAGATGATGGTAAACATTGTAGACGGCATGAACTAAAGTGATGGCAGCAATGGCGACAACGTGAGCTCTGAGGAAACTAGGGTTTGCAGAAAGGAAATGAACAGTGTTGAGGGTCTTTGGGATTCTTGTGCGTATATATGAGGGGATACCTAATAGGCAACAACTCTTCAAATTTTTGGCGTGATGATGACAGTTACGAGACTGCACGGAGCCTCTGGGGAAGAGCCACGTGGCATGGATGTGATGGGTTGTCAGTACGACTAATAGGTTGACAACGCGGCTGATTGATTGACGATGAGACAACCGGCACAAGTCTCAACAACCAGTCGAAGCAGATAGCTTGGTCAGAAAAGGTAATCCCACTCATGTTCATCTCAGATGAGATTAACGGGCAATTAAGAGGGAGATTTGTGCCAAACGGTGTGGCTGAGCTGAGATAGGACGGAATGTATTGCTGGGCCAAGTGAGAACCTGAGACGCATCATTGGGCCAGACTGGGTCTGCTGTCAATACAGTGCTAGTGTGAGACTGAGGTTATCCGAGATGCGTTAGGCTGAGCTATACCCTACTCAAAGTATCATGTCAGCCAAATGCGATAGAGTTGGCCCTCCGACTAGCGGGCAGAATTGGCCCAACGTGGAAGTCCAAGGCAGCAGAGTCATATGACGACCGAACTATAACCTGTTTGGGCTGCTACCAACGCGGCATACCGTTCGGAGGAACGCGATGTGCAGCCGAGATGCCACATAATGCTTTTACCTTCGGTCGGTGTCGAGTGATTGAGGCTTTGGCTGAGCGCGTCGCATCTGATAGTCTAGTTAGGTTCTGCCCAGCATATAAGAAGTCGATGTAACGTTTGTGGTTTGCAAGTAATAGCTCGGCCGGGTGTTCCACGTGGACCAATAAAGAGAAGAGATAAATCCACTCCTGGTATGCGTCAATACCATTTGGTGGTGCGACAAACACTGTTTGGAGGTTTTGGTTTTTACACGTGTAAGAAGTGTAAAAGAGAGCACATCCACCTGTCCAAAGAAAGACAACAGAAGTAGTGCGCCCATAATCTCTAAGACTGCATGGCCAACTTTGAAAAGGAGGAGCATGCAACCGTTAAAAGTAAGCTATTTTTGATATACTCTCACCATCTAGAAAGTGCTCTGCCTTCTCTCTTCTTCTCTAAGTGTGCTAACTTGATCGTCGGAGGGTTTATCTAGCAGTACACCATCGGGCAGCTCACCATCTTTCTGTTCTCAGGTTAAGTGACGTTACACGAGGCTTGGACACAAGGAGTATGGAGAGCGACAAATATTTTCTCCCTGTACAGATGGAGTGGATTAAAGTTTTGGAGGGAGGAAGAAGAGGAGGAAGAAGAAGAAGAAGAAGAAGAAATAACTTTGATCTCTTCAGAAAAAAGATATAGAGATTTGAATAAGAATAATTCATTAGGGTGTACTATGAAAAAATTTTTAAAATTTAATATGTATTATCTTTATTAATAAATTTACAACAATGCTAGAGGGCCACAATTTTTTACACCCAAAACGACATCGTTTTAACAGTTTTGAGCCATTGTGACTACAAAAATTGTGGCTCTCAAACATTTTTCATAAATTTATATTAAGATATAATAGAAATTAAATTTATGAATTTATATTGAAGGTACTGATCATATTTTAGACCTGGAAAGATTTCCTTGAAGCCCAACTGACCCCTTGTCGGAAATTTTCAAATACTTACGCACACAGAACGAGAGAGAGAGAGAGAGAGAGAGAGAGAGAGAGACGAGGATGGTGCTGTATGATAAGCTCACTAGGGTTAGGGTTGTTGCAAGAACGACACTAATCGTGTTTATACTGTTGGTGTTGAATAGTGGACCAAAACAAGCCCTAGCCTCCAATTCAGCAACAGCTTTCGTGCAGAACGTTATCTACTCCAACAAGATTGCCATCTTCTCCAAATCTTATTGCCCGTACTCTCCCTCTCTCTCTCTCTCTCTTTCTCCCAATTCTGGTAATTGGTTTTGTTTCAATCTCTAATTAGTCGAAAATAACTGTTGCTATGTCTTTAACTCTTCAATTCTAGATATAATGCAAAATCCTGGCCTCTATGATTAGGGTTTTCATTTGCTAATTGCCTCTCGGATATGAATTTTAGTGAGCATCATATATAATTTTGTAAATGTGATAAAATTGTATGGATTGTGGGATCAATTTGATTTTTTTTCATGAATAATCTTAAAAAATGAACGGACCGAATTATCAAAGGTGACCTGCTCACAGATCATTTATTTATTACAAATTGATACTGGAATTTACTTGTTGTACCACAGACTTCACTGGAGTGTAGCTACCCCGTGCTAAAAACATGTTGCCTCATTTTCGTCGGATTGAAGTAATGACTTTGCTTACACCCTGTAGTGAAAGAAAAGGAAAATTAATAAATCTTGTTAGTAACCTTAATATTTACTTGTTTTATTTGTCAGATTTAAATGTACTTGTTATGCATTCCAATCATTATTGCCCACCTCCACTTCTCATATTTGCTGTAAACTCTAATCACTTCTGTTATGCTACTGTTATGTTACCATGGCGAAAGTACACCATGGCAACAGCTACACTACAACTATCCTTCCACCAATTAACCATACCACCATCGTCCCAGCCCCTACACCTCTAACAAGAATATTTCACTAATCCCAAAAGCAACAGTCAGTGGCTGCAACACAACATCCATTTCCACTCACCACTCTCTCGGAGTAGTGCTAGGTGTTGTCACTGCTATGCTATCTCTCACCATCATCGCTGCCAACATGTTCTCACATTGATACATGCTCAACAACCAAAACCAACATGGCTTGCTTTGGAATGGCGGGAGTGAGTAAACTTTATTTCTCATGAGAAGTTGCCATGCAGATGAGGGCGGTGAAGTGACTTTATTGGAGTCTCATTGTGTTCAGGGAAAGAAGATATGTTGGATATTTTATAATTTATGAGATTACTTGCCCAAAAAAAATATAATTTTTTAGAAGATTCATTGTCGAAACAAATGTAATTGTAGCTCCTTTCTTTTCTTTCTTTCTTTTTTTTTTTTTCCCCATCATGTTTATGTGATATATATCTTTCCTGGTGAATTGCCCATCAAACTGGGGTATTGATGCAGAATTGTCCTCGCATTCCCTGTTGCTCTCTCTTTCTTAGTCTCTACAAGGTTTATGCCAACTATTTGCGTTTGGCTACATATGGATTCACATTCACTTGTGACTTTTTGTCAAATAACAAATTCTACAGCATTCCTTGATGTCAATGAATCCCATATTTCTGATTACAACAAGGCATAACTTGCCTGTTATTTGTCCAGGTATTCCCTGCGAGCCAAACGTATATTCAGTGAACTAAATGAGAAACCTTTTGTCGTGGAGCTTGATCTGCGAGGTACTTCTTATCCAAGTTGTGTTCATTATAAGAAATATGTGAGTGGCATTTTTTCTGTGTGTGTGTGTTCTCTATTTGTTTGCTTGCTTGCTTTTTTTTTTATTTATTTATTTTTTTTTCGTGGTGGTGATGGTGGTTTACAACTTCCTTTCGTTAGTTTTTTAAATATAATCTGGCTCTGTTTTGAAGTGATTCTGTTATCATGATTATGTGGGATTGTGTAGATGATGGGTATAAAATTCAGGATGTCCTTCTAGATCAGGTGGGCCGACACACTGTCCCGCAAGTTTTTGTTAATGGTAAACATGTTGGAGGCTCTGATGGTTAGTCCTCTGCCCATAGAATTTTGTGTTTTCATTCTCTTCCTGGGATTTCTATCAAGACTTTCCATCGACATGACACTGTTTTCTCATTATGTTCTGTTGTAATTCAGATCTCAAAACTGCTGTCCAGAATGGTCAGTTGCAGAACCTTCTTAGCAAAAGTTGATGAAATACTGTAATATGAGAAAACTCTGGAAGTCAGCATCTTATATTTTTCTACAACCAGCGATAAAAATTTGGAGCCTGAAGGTAATTTGTTGCGTCTTTGACAATTCATGTTGATTTAGGGTTTGACTTTGCTTCTTTTAATTGAAAACAGAAGCTTTTGACAAATTGTTGGGAATGCATATCATATACTAATTTGAATGTGGAGACATGTAAATACATATTGCAAATTGCCACAGTTCTGTATTTTCCTTTTGATTGCAATATGACATTCATGCAACTTTCAAGCAACATATAAATATCTTATGGATATTGAGAGCTAGAAAATGAGAGAGCCCATGATTCTTGGATCTGAATTGTCAGGCTGTTAGCAGAGATCTCTCAGCTTTTAGGCCACCTGATGAGTCTCTCTCTTGTAACCCTCAGGGAGTGGGACCAGACAGGTTGGGGCTTCCTCAGGGCAATGCCTCTCACGATGTTCAAAATGCTTTGCAGTGCTTCCCCTTGTTAGTAACCTTAATATTTACTCTTTCTCTTTTGTCCAAACAAGGTAGTTAGTCTGTACCTGCAGTTACATTACACAGCTATCATGTGTATCTGTAGATGCTCCCATCTTGGCCATCTGGTCCATTCTTCCATCTCTCTTTTTCATTCTCGGATTCGTCTGTCTGAGTTAACCATGACATCTACTATTTTTTTGGTATTCCCGAACTCTATTTTCTAAGACCAAATCATCTGAATTTGATTGTCTTGCCTTCTATTCTTTTTGTTTGGTGTCTTTGTTTACCACATTTAATTGCTCTCACGTTGGCTCTTTTTATGTTGAGTTTCATCTCGTGTTTCTAAGCTATCAACTTGGGTTTGTGTAGGCTACCTGTTTTCTTTATAATACACCCACCTTTTGGGTGCATACCATACTACTTTGGGTTATTACCAAAACTATTTTGGAACATAACCAAAAACACTATACTGTAATTTGTAACCAAGTCTGCTTCCATTTTGATCTGACCATAGTTAGACCCCGCTTTGATTTGACCACCACTTGGAAGTTGTAATTAAGGCCGTTTGTACACATCTTTGTAGGAGTGTGTATCATAAAATCAGCTTTTTTGAAGAGCTTTGATTCTCATCGGACGAATGGGATTGTGGGGTAGTGCTTCATCAGGTTCGCTTTGATCGTGTCTTATTCCCACTTGAATCTCTTGTTGTGAATTGCGATTGCTCCTTTAAATTTGTTACTCTGTTGTGGCTAATTTTCTGGCTTTTCCTTTTCTTCTTTTTGTCTGTTGATGTTGCATTGTTTGCTGTTGGGTCTTTGTGTGATATCTAGTCTTTGTAAGCTTTTGTGGTGGTCAGCTTCTTTATTCGTTGGGGTTTCACCTACATCTTACTCTGTTGATGTTGCATTATTCCTTAGGGTTACTCACTTGTTAAAAAGTAGTTTTTTATTTTATTTTATTTTATTTTTTAATTTTTATACATTTGTCATTTTAAAAAGTCATAGTCAGCTCAAAATCTTATAATTACGGATCGGGCACAGCAAGTACAATTACAAATAGTTAACTCATCTCAGTTTAGATCCTCTCCTTGGTCTCTCTCTTTATCTTCCTATTTGCAACGGTAGAACCCAAATTTAGCTATTTAAAAAAATAATAACTAAATAGTCAGATCTGGACCATTAGATCATCTTAGAATACGTTTTTGCCGTTGTAAATAGGGAGACAAGGAGAGTGACCGTGGAGAGGATCCTAATTCATCTCTTTCTACCCACACAACAAATGTATATCAGGAGTTTAATAATTTTTGTTTTGTAATTTCGTTATATTTGAAGGAGAATGATTGAATGAAATGACAAGGGTCCTGTCTCTTCTTAATGGGCAGATTCAGTCACAGCTTTGAGAAAAAATTATTGGTGGGTCCAGGATGGACATGACTATATTCTGGTTAATTATAAATATTTATGTTTTCTTATGTTTTTCAATCATTTAATACAAAATTATAAATTTTATCATTCTGCCAATTAAAACATACCTGGATGCCAAGTGATTGTATTCCAAAACCAACTATTAACTTCTCTAGCATGAGAATATACCTGGGACGCCAAGTGATTGTATTCCACAGCCAACTAATAACTTCTCCAGCGTGAGGGGTACTGTGCATTCCATAAGATTCTAACACCATCAAAATTTAAAATTAATGATCTATAACTACTATGACATTGAAGCTTTAAAAATTTCTTTAATTTTAAACAATTTTATTGATATGGGAGGTATAATTTATTAGTTTCAGTGAATATTTTTTATTTGTGAGAAGTTTACTTTTTGTGAAATAGTTTGGTGATAAGTCCTTTAGTTGGTTTTACAAGACGTTTTGTTTTTAATTTTACTCATTAATTTAGGAGTTGTTTGAGATATTCTAAATAAGTGTACTTTTGGACTTTTTGGACTAAAAAGTTGAGGGAAAAAAGATGGTTATTTGAGATAATTTTTTGACTTTTTACGAAAAAATGTATATTAAAAAATTGAATAAATTAGTGTATAGGAGAAGTTTTTTGGCGAGTAGGCAATACGGTGGGCAGTACAGTGGCAGCGTTGCGCAGAGTAGTGTATAGGAGATGCTTGCCTTTTTTTGGGGCATTGAATTGGACGGTATTGTTCGGCCTGTAGGGGCTCACCATGGGTCCCGTTTTACTAATTAGAACTGTTTAATGTGTAGAACTCGTCGAGTACTATATGCTTATAAAAAATTACGTTGATCGGATATTGATAGCTATCTGATCAGATTAGTTTTTTGTCAACCGTTAACTATAATACCATTCATTTTTTTTATACCAAATTGATTTGATCATATAGTTAGCGATATCCGATCAACGTGATTTTTTACAAACATGTAGTACTCAATGAGTTTTACACATTGAACGGTTCAAATTATCAAAACGGGATCCGTGATGGGCCTTTACGGGCCGACCAGCACCGTCTTGTTTGTGCACCCGCTTGTTCTCTTTGTCCAACCAAAGTCAGCTAAAGTACAACTCACGTGAGAAGTGGGTTGTATTTTTTTTTGGTGTAAAATTAATTTTTTAATATTTTTTTTTGGTGAATAGTGATAATTTTTTAACTTTTTATGTAACTTTTTGACTTTTTTTTAAGGATGCCAAACCAACCCTTATATGCTGACTTTTTTTTTATCTATTGATTGTTATTGATTATCTGTTCAAATTTATATCTATCTATTCAAATTATTTTCTATATATTTAATTTTTTTGACTATCTGTTCAAAATATTTTCTATTTGCTCAAATTATTTTTTTATATGTTCAATTTTTTCTCTGTTTAAAAAATTTATCTGTTCAATTTTTTTGTATGTTCAAATTTTCTCTCTTTATCTATTCAAATTCTAGTACATACACAGATAGGGTGAGAGGTGGAAAATGGAATTTTCAATCTATCTATACAAATGGAATGTTCAACCTATTTGTACTAATGGAACTCTCAACCTATCTAATTGAAAATCTTCAATCAATGCACCTACAACAAGCAGGAGAAGTGAAAAATTGAGGAAGAACAAAAAACAGGCAATCAGACTCATCATCATCAACTCATACATACATACAAGAAGAAGCCATATTCAACAAATAAATAAATAAATATCTTAGAGAGAGAGAGAGAGAGAGATTCACTTCTTTCAATTTCTGGCCCCGTTTGGTAGAGCTGTGGGAAAGTGATTATAGCTTATACCTTAATAGCTTATAGCTTAGAACTGTGAACATAAGCTGATTTTTGACTTATAAATTAAGCTTCTTCTCTCCCACTCAAAGAATAAGTTGATTTTTGACTTACAAAAAGCTATAAGTTGTGTTGTTAAGCTAAACCAAACACATCAAAATAGCTTAAATTAAGTTAAAAGCTGAAATAAGCTAAAAATAAGCCCTACCAAACAGGGCTTCTATAAGCAACCAAACACAAAATCATTTAGCTTCCACACATTAGTATTACGTAGATCTAGAAATGTTCCAAGAAGAAAACTCCAAATAGGGCATCAGTGGTGGTTAATCTGCAATAGAAATGTCTTAAATCGAAGAGAATAATAATTAACACAACTTATTAAAGATCACTAAATCAAAACAAAACAATATATATAATTATAATAGAGTAAGATAGAATAATAGACTTGTGAATTTGTGAGTGTTGACAACTCATGGAACAGAGCTACATGAGCTTAGCAAAGCAGAGAAAGTAACCAGGAAGTAGAGATCAACTCTCTCTTCCTTTCTTTAACCTCACTCGAGGCTCTCAACTATCGCCGAAGATCGCTGGACACTCACCGCACTTTTAACACTGAGCTACGACAAGGATCTAGCAACACAACGGGCATGGGGAGTGAGATTCGAGTTGTGATAACCATATTCCGTATTATGCTTTACTTCCCTAATTGTGTATATCATTATGTGTTTGATGTGAAATTGCATGTTTAATTGTGTGATTTATATGAATTTGACATTATATCTGTTGTCCGTAGGAAAACCTGTTGAAATTACAACTTTGAACTGAAAATTGAAAGCCTTTAGAGGCACCAAAAACCGAAAGTGCATAAATATTTGTGATAAACATTTGAAAGAAAATGAAGGTAAGCATGAAATCATGAAATTGGAAGTTCGATTTTGGAAATTAAAACAAGATTTAATTCAATTGAGCTTGAATTACACTTTACCTATGTTTGTATATCATGTTTTTGAAGTAGTTTTGCATGATTTTGGGCCCAAAAATGAGTTTGAAAGCTTGAATTTTGGATTGACTTCGAACTACCTGAAATTACCCAAAACCGCAAGTGCGGCTGTGAGCCCTACAAGTGCGAAATACAGGGTAGAGCAGAGCGTGACACATTGTTTTAATTGCATGTGTGGCCCGTAAGTGTGGCACCTTCCACACATGCGGTAAGGATCTTCCGCACGTAGGGGTGTAACTCGGGCGGGTTTGGTTGACTTGGAGGTTTACCCAAGCCCAACCCGAATTGTGTTTGGCAGTGCTCAAGCCTGACCACCAACCCGAGCATGGCTGCCCAAGCTCGGACCAAGCTTCATAATTTGAACTCGAGTTAGCCCAAATTGCTTGAATTTCACAAGGCAACAAATAGTTTCTAAATTTTTCCATACAACAAACAGTGCTTCATTATATACATAAGTCCATTAGTCTATACAACAAACTTAAACATTATCCCAGTCACAAACACTGCTACATATAAAAGTAAATTTCACAAGGCAACAAACAGTGCTTCATTATTCCATACAACTAACAGTGCTTCATTATTCCATATATAAGTCCATTAGTCCATACAACAAACTTAAACAGCATCCCATCCACAAACACTACTACATATAAAAGTAAAATATCATGAAGTTGACATGACAAACATAAACTGAAAACAACAAAATAAAAAGAAGTGATCCACGTAGTAGTACAGTTGAAACTTCAATCCAATAGAAATTTCATATTTTGATCTTCACATCTTCATCTCAATGCAACCAAATCCTAAAAAAAAAGAACATAATTACAAATAACTCAAATAAAATAATACAAATCAAATGAAATATTAAATTATTCTTGTCTTGCGGTAAAATTTCTTTCAAACATTACTTAAACTTGATATAGAAAGAGTACCAATTTCATCCGTTATAGTTGCGAAAATTAAAATACTTGAGATAATATAATAAGATTTGTAAATTAAAAACAAAGGACAAGTGTAAAGACTAACTTACTTGACTCTAGTTTCTCAAGATCCTCTAATTTTTCTTCAACATCAATTGGACTTGATGAACTCTTTAACCAATCTTGTCCACAAATCAAAGCCTCCACAATTTTAGGAGTTAAAGAACTGTGAAATTAATCAAGTACTTGACCCCCGGTATTAAATGCGGATTCTGAAGCAACAATTGATATAGGAATGGATAAAATATCATGTGCTATAAGACAAAACACACAATATGTAGAAGCTTTCATTTTCCACCAAGCTAAAATGTCAAAGTGTTAGAATTCCTCTTCAACCCTATCTTCCAAATAACGATCAAACTTGGATTTAATCACCATAGTTTCTTCAGCTTTCAAGAATTGATGCCAATCTTGTTTATGCATATCAACCCCAACACTTGAAACCCCCAGATCATCCATTGTAACATCATTTCCACCTTTACAGACACCCACATTTTTCATAGATTCTAACACAGAGGAGGAGTAATGTTCTTGAAGTTGCTTCATAATAAGCTTCACTTTTTCAATCATAGCATCAACATCACTAATGGAATAATACCTTGTGAAAGAAAACTTAACATACTTCAACTTATTACGTGGATCTAAAACCATAACAACAATCAACAAAGGATTAATCTTC